AGTGTTACAAATTTTTTTTTAGACCTCCAAAAAAAACTTGACAAGCAAAAAAAAGGAAATGTCTATTGTCTTGCCCAAACACGAAAATTTTTCGGGTGGGGGTGGGGGGTTGTAGGTTCAAAAATTCAGTACCAAAATTTTTCCCAAACAGCACCACTTTCCCAGAGAGATATTGTCTTGTTTTATATACTTAATGATTAAAAATTAAATTATGAGGAATTAATTAAATAGCAACCAAATTATACTGCTCCAACCTTACACTTTTCTTTATAAAACTTCTTTGCGGATTAGATAGCGCAAACTGCCCCAACTCAGGTTATACAGTATAATTTGGGTTGCTATTTAATTCATTCCTTAAATAAAAGTGTTTAAAAGTGAAATTTTTTTTTTGCAATTTTAATTTATTTTCTAATTTGTTTTACACCAAATTTAATTAACTCTTTAAAACTTGAAAGTTGATTTACTTTAAAAAAAAATGAAAAAAGAGTTGTAAAATTATAATTTCAATAAACATGCAAAGTTTTTGAAATTCAGTCGGGATCAGGATGACAAAGTATCACATTTTAAATATTTTATCTCTTTTCACAAAAACTATACAGAATAATTATTGTTATTGATTTGATAGTTATGATATTATTTATAAGCAAATATCAACTCACTTAGGCATATTTTTTTTAACTTATCACACACCGATATCGTTTGAAGATTACCGGTAAAAAACAGGTAACTTACATATTAAGGACTAAGTGGGGAAAATGAGCGTTACAATGACAACGGGAGATAACTCTAAGGAATGTGAAATTCGTCTATTTATGTCATACGATTGTTTACACATGTAAACAAGTATAAATGCAGTCGTGTACATATCCCGGGTAATGTCCAATAGCTATATGTAAGATGGTCGTGTAAATAGATTTTTACTTACACCTATGTGCACGATGGTTGTGTATATATCTCAGCTATTTGCACGACGGTCGTGTAAATAGACTTTCCAAATAGTGCGCACGACGGTCGTGTATATATCATCGGCCCTGGACCTGATACATTTTTCCAAGAGAGATTTTTTCATGACTTGTTTTAAGATGAGTTCAAAGTTGCATCACAATGATATTTTCTGCACACCCTAAAAAATGCTTTTTTATAGAAATAAATTGATATGGTAGCTAAATAAAGCTATTTAGGTAAATCAAGCTACGTAGCTAAATCTAGTGATTGTACCAGATCTGGTGAGGACTGATAAATGCTGCCATTGAAAGCTGCCTTCACTATCAAATAAAATTAGTTAACAGAAAAACAATCTTCGCCGTGTTAAATGTGGGGACTGATAGGCTAAATGCTAGTGTACAAAACTGTTGTCACTGTGTGATCATCTTCGAACACAGTATTCACCCTTTGAACGCCGACGTCACTATCAAATAAAATTAGTAAACATAATAACAAGCTTCACCGTGTTAAATGTGGTGTAGAACACTATGGACTGAAGGGCTAAAAGAAATGCTGCAGTGTGATCACCTTCGACACATCGTGACACGGAAGCCATTTTGAAGAGTGTTGGTAAAATGGGACCAAATGGGAAAACAAACCCAGGCCGGGGCAAATAAAAAATTGGAACAGAAGAACCCAAAAGAACCCTGAAGAAACATAATCTGATAATTTCAGATAAAATGGTGGAGTTTTACCGAAGATATTTGAAATATCTCAAACTGCTGCGGCTTTTAATTTGCCCCGGCCGTGTTTGCCCTCTCGTTTTACCAACACCATTTTGAAATTGTAAACAAGGAACCAAAACGGACGATTCGAATAATTCTGGACCGATTGAAGAGGCAATGTCTATTTTTTGCTTTGGTGAACCCGAAATATGTGTCCAATAAAAAAGTGAAATAGGAGGTGCACAATGGCACTATATAACAAACATTCTGTGAAAGTATCATTAAATTTTACTCAATGGTATAAGAGGAGTTGCGGATAAGAGATTGGTACCCCAAAGCGTAACATACGGACGGACAGACGGACGGACGGACGGACGGAAATCCCGATTACTATATACCCTCCCACTTTTCAAGCGGGGGGTATAATAAGTGGAAGGCTACATCAAAATGCCACATTAAATTTGCATTTTTTTTTTTGTAAGAACAATAAAAAAAAAATCAGGTGATATTTATACAAGAGCTTTTCATCAGAAGTTGATAAAGAAAGATTTCTTTGAAAAGGTATACTTTACTTATAGAATTAGTTAAAGGTTAATATATCAAGCTACTACGTAGAGCTACAAACATTTTCTTGAACGCAGCTCATGACTTAAAAAATGAATAAATGTTTCACATCGATAAGTTAACTGGCAAAGTTCCCTTAAGTATCATAATTAAACATTTGATAGCTTTTGCTGCATACATGTACAAATTTTATACGAGTACTTTGATATAACGAGACCTTCAAGAAAATTTTTGTTAAAAGCTGCAGAAATGATTTATAGTCTTGATCTTGAAATGTATTTTTTAAATTGTATACCTCTTTCACATAGAAAGCCAAAACAAAATCCATAGCTGTAATTGGAACTTCTTCCATAGCATTTCTTGCCACCATTTTCAGGACTTGGGTTCGTGCATGATCTATATTTTACGTATGTCAGGGTTCCATTTCCACAAGATTCGCTACATTTTGACGATGGTTTCCAGCTACCCCATGCTGACCATCCTCCATCAACAGCTACATATAAATAAATCATGATCGGAATCAATTTAGTTTGATAAAAAAAATAATAGAAGCTGCCGAACTAGAGGTACTGTTAGCAATGAGCTCACTAAATGATACCCCCGCCTCCCATATGGTTATAACTGATGACAAAGTCATGTGTTTTGCTGTGGCAGGGAAACCCAAAATATGTCTCGGATAAAAAAATAAAATAGGAGGTGCACAATGGCAATATGTAATAAAGATTCTGTGAATGTTTCATTAAATTTTATTCAGTGATATAAAAGGTGTTGCGCATAAGTGATGAATACCTCAGAGCGTAACAGACAGACGGACGTACAGACAGCTAGACGGACATACCGATTACAGTATACCCTCCCACTTTTCAAGCGGGGGGTATGATAATAAATTGAAACATACTGAGGTTCAATTTAACGATGATAAATAACAATAGAAATATATGGAGAAATTAACTGAAGTCAAAAATTGTAACCAATCGACAAAATAATGTTTCCTATTTAGGATTTTGAAGTTGTGTTCAAACGTCGCTATTATGAGTATTTGTTGCTTATATATATAACTTGTAATTCTGTTTTGACATAAACACGATTTCATTTCGAATTCCTCTACTGCACGTAATGATTTTACCGTTAAGATTCAAACAAATCCCTTGACATTTCAATGTCAGCTACATGTACTGACATTATCTGTCTTTCCCTGACATTCTCCTACACTCGCTGTCTTTGTCACTGACTGTCCTATGACATTCCCTGATTTTTCTTTAACTGCTATTCCTAGCTCATCCAACTTTTCTTAAACCTCACAACATCCATTGGGAATATAACATTATCTACACTTCCTAAGCATGTTTTTAAATCATTATCATTAAAATCCAGAGTAATTTTCTTGTAAAACCTCTTACAAGAGGATTTATGATTATTCAAATTTTGACATGTTTCAAATCGACCAATACTTACCTGTACTACAATTCTGCCCGTAACAAGATTCAGCTTTGTACATTGATGTTCTACCGAGGCACATTTTAACCCAGAAAACCTTTCTAGGGTTTAAGCATTTTCGGTATCTAACATATTTCTGAGTTCCATTTCCACATGATTCGCTACATTTTCCAAAGGGGCTCCATTTGCCCCATCCTGACCATTCTTCTTTAAAAGTTATGGAAAAATACATATATTGCAATGATTAAGAAAAATAAAGCAATTTTAGCTTAAAAACAATTATTTCAGTAGCAGGATGATATTCAGATCATTTAAGCCAAAAACAGATCTTCTTTTCATCTAAGGGAATCTTGCCTCCGCCTGTTTCTTTATGTTTGTTGTCTTGCATCTGTCATCTTTTTAAAAACATAATCTTCTTTCTACTTTACGGTCAAACTTATATATAATATATTATATTATATTATATTATATATTATATTATAACATAAGATATATTATATATAACATCTGAGTCTCAAAAAAGACAATTAATGTTGATTTTTTCCAAGACGGTATATTATTCTGATGGTATCTTTAATTTTTTAAGGGGATTCATGCGGCCGAATACAAAAACACAGTAATGGTTATTTGAATATTTTTAATATTGAAATACATGTATTAACTTTTTTTTAGTTTAAATTCTCTATCGAATTCAATTTTCATTCAAATAAACCTACCTTTGGTACACTTTTGAACGTGACAGGGTTTACGTTCGTACTTGGAGTTTCCGCCGGAACATCTCCTCCCTCCATTTCTCGGTCTTGGGTTTGTGCATGACCGATATTTCACATAAACCTGGGTTCCATTACCACATGATTTACTACACTTTCCAAATGGGATCCAGTTTCCCCAATCAGACCATCCTCCATGAACTTTGTCATCTAATAAAAACAATTTAATACATGTACTTTTAATGAATATTGGAACCCTAACTTGTTCATTTTTCTCATGTTCAAGATATTTTGAGAAAAAGATGACTGTATACTGTAAATGTATTATAATTGACGTACGTGTACGTTATTGGCGCAAAATGAATTTTGAACAAGTTAGGGGAGAATTGATCTAGCGCATTCTTTAATGTACTTATTTATAAATAGGCAAGATATTTAGCGTGTATTTGAATTAGCAGAAGTTTCTCTTCGCCAAAGGCGCTAAAAAGAATACACCGCAAAATGTAATACGTTTATAGTATTAAGTGGGAAAATCCTTAAAACGTTTGAACATTTTCCCTTCTTTTTTTTTCTTAAAGAAATATAAGAAACAGTTTCAATCCCATGACCATTGTGTCGAACAGAATTTCATTTTCGAAATTTGATGTCAAAAGCAAAAGAAAAAACAAAACAAAACAAAAAAAGAAAAAAAAAAAAAAAAAAAAAAAAAAACAACAACAACAACAACAAACAAAAACAAAACAGAAACAAAAAGAAATTCTTAAAGCCAAATAAATATCAATTTACTTTTAGGAAGGGAAAATAACAATAACAACATAATGCAAAAATAATTAAATTCAAAGGCTAAAACCCCTTTATCCTTCACAATATCCATTAGGAACAAGACTAAGCAAAATAATATCTACACTTCCTAAGCATGTTTTCAAATCAATATATCAAAATTCAGTGTAATTTTTTTGTCTAACCACGTACAGGACTTTTACGAGAAGCACTGACTTTTATAGTCGACTGTTTACTTGGACATTTAAACCTGTATCATCTACGGAGGTACAGAATTTATAATGGATAAAGAAACCTTTCTAGTGGTCATAATAATGGTGTAAGGGGCACTTACATGTGAAGGCCTGGATTTGAGGGTTAGATGGTTGTCGTTTTCTTCAAGGACAATTGCATCTTATCTGTGTTTTGAAATATCCCTTTATTTTCGTTGAATTAAATGCTGAGCAAAATATTTATATCGTAAAAGAGCTTCCGTACATTGTCCTAGTGTGAGAATTCGTCAACTGTAAAAGTCAGTGCTTCTCAAAAAAGTCTACGGTAAGATTACGAATATCCAAAATGTGTCGTGTTTTACATCGACCAATACTCACCTGTACTACAATTCTGCCCGTAACAAGATTCTGTTTTGTACATTGATGTTCTACCGAGGCACATTTTAACCCAAAACACCTTTCTAGGGTTTAAGCATTTTCGGTATCTAACATATTTCTGAGTTCCATTTCCACATGATTCGCTACATTTTCCAAAGGGGCTCCATGTGCCCCAATCAGACCATTCTTTTCCTTTAAAAGTTGTGGAATAAAATACACGTATTGTAATGATTGAGAAAATTAAAACAATTTTAGCTTAAAATCAATTATTTCAGTAGCAGGATGATATTCAGATCATTTAAGCCAAAAACAAGAAACGATCTTCTTTTCATCTAAGGTAGTCTTGCCTCCGCCTTTTGCTTTGTGTTTGTTGTCTTGTATCTGTCATCTTATTAAAATATAAAATTCTTTCTACATGTACTCTATGGTCAAACTGATATATAGAATCATAGTCACAGTAAAGGAAATTATTTTTGATTCTTTTCAAGGAAATATATTAATCTGATGGCATCTTTATTGTTTCAATGATTCAAACGGCCAAATACAGAAACAAAATAATGATTACGTAAATATTTTTAGCATTGAAAACATGCATTTACTTTTTCAAGTTCAAGCAATATTCTGGGGATAGGAAGAGATCCTTTTATACCTTTCTGTCCTAAATCAAAATGATTTAAATAAACATTGAAGAATAAACGGAAAGATCTTTAAGATTTTAGTTGTTGATACATGTATAATTTTAAACATTTTTTAACAATATAATTGTGAAACATTTTCAAGTTCCACAAATGGAACATTAGACACAAATTTAACCCTAAAAATTTTGCGTCGACAATTAAGAATTGAATTTTCTTCAAACAATATATATTTTAGGAGAGATCTTTAGCATGGAGAATACTTTTATTTAAGTTTTTGTCAAATATTTTAGTTGATTATTGCCCTTTTAATAAAAACACCTGAGGGCGCTTTGGTTGCAACTTCCTTTTTCAATATCCCAGCATCATCTTGGGTCGGTAGAAATTTTCCAGCTTGTTATTGTGTATTATAAACTTGTAACTCATGAAAGTTGAAAAGTAAACTTTGGATTTAGATATACATAGATAAGTGCTTGACCTCTGCACCTCCCAGGGTCAAGGCTTTTACCACTTTCCGAGATGGAGTTTGTGAACTTTGACCTTTGATCTATGAACTTTGAACCTGAGTTTGAAGATTTAATATTAATTTATGTAATCTTTGTTTTGTTGTGTTGCAAGAGACACCAAAAGCTTTTCATAATTTGTGTCTCTGGATAAACAGCCGTGCCCAATTATCGCCACAATAAAATTTATTAAATACATACTTGATGTTTTTATATGCACTTATCTGAGATAATACATATTTAATTGCATATCTTTATTATGACAATTGCATTGTTTTTTTAGTTGTTCAATTTATTTTAAAATCCATATTAAAATTGAATTTAATTAAAATTAAAACTGATATTAACATAAGATATATTTTTTCTTTTTTATTCAACATTTTAAATAATGTTTAATATTTTTACAATTAAAAAATTTGAAAGAAAATTGTACTCACCACAATCTTTTCCATAACAAGTTTCACTTTTGTACATTGATGTTCTACCAAAGCACATTTTGACTCCGAACACTACTCTAGGGTTTAAGCATTTTCTATATCTTACGTACTTCCGAGTTCCATTTCCACATGATTCGCTACATTTTCCAACAGGACTCCACGTGCCCCATTCAGACCATTTCCTTACTTTGAAAAGTAATGAGTAAGTGCATAGATTTTAAAAAATTAAACATTCTTGTAATGTTAAAATCAGTTATGATTTTAATTTAATTGTGCTAAACGATAACATTTTTTCCCTGATCAAACAGTGTTTCTTATCCGTCTTTTATGTGAGACATGTCCTTCAGAGTTTGTCGTCTATTTTTTTTAGGTAACCTGAGTATGTAACAACTTTCCAACAATTGAATTTGGTTCGTGTTTAATCCAGGGGCCATGAAATTTACAATTCTGACAGAGGCACCATTGCTTATCAAAACTATATACTTGGCATGCTTACTCGGGTACCTCGTAACTTTATGGAAGAATATCCAGGTAGTGTAAAATGTGTTTAAATTAGTTCCAGAACGAAATTTAATGAAAATCATACTCAGATATTTACCGTATACAATATGCAGATCTAAGAAGTCTGATTTTAATTATATCTTACCAGAACGTTTGTTGAAGAGTGAGGCGTCAACAGGGGATCAAGTGTTTACATGGTAATATACTTTTCACATGAAATAGAAGTTTGCTTCATATGAACAGAGGGGCTTCGTAGTCATATATTATGTTGATTCAAGAATAAATAAAGTTGTGTTCCCTCCCTCTTCCCAGTTAGAAAATGTAAGGCCTTATGAGGAGATTCAACTTATATCAAAAATTATCTTTAAAATCGTCTTCTTGATACTAGTAAGTCATATTACATATACATGTAATATAATTGAAGGAAAAAAATTATGTTTTCATTAATATTTTCTCACACTTTGGACAACAGCGTCTATAACAAGATTCATATTTGAATGCTGAACATCGTCTTAAAATCTAATGCCTCTGTTGAATGGCCTTGAGGTACTGAGGCATGTTCTGTATCTTAATATTTCGGAGTTCGCCTTCTACAGTAACATATTCCCACGGGGTTCCCAGCTACCCCATACTGACCATTCTTGAATTTTGTTTAAAATATGAATCAAAACATATATTCTGCTCAAAACTATCAGAACTAAAAAGTTACTATTAATACTGTGTTGAATTTTTAGAAAATCGATGCTTCACTTAATATAATTATGTGTACTAAGCTTTACCGCAAGGGGAGCGATGACATCGTTTATATGCATATGTTTTCCTTCTGCCGTAACATCTTTTGCCCCAATAACGTAGTCCTCGATTTAAGCATGTCCTATATCTGACGTATTTTTGAGTTCCTTTCCTACAGTTACAAGTTCCTACTGGTCTCCAGCTGCCCCATGCAGACCATTTGGGATCTACAGTGAATTGATATCATATGTAAATATTTAGATTTTTAAAAAGAATATCCTCTTTAGTTATAATTATAAATGACAAATTGTAGCAATATTTAAACAGAAATACTCCCAGTATATTTTAGATTGATATTAACATGCTAGTATGATGTATTATATTTTTTCTCCTTAATTTAATATCGTAAATAATGTTGAGAATTTTCAAAACAAAACAAATGAAAGACACTTGTACTCACAACAATCGTTTCCATAACAAGATTCACTTTTGTACATGGATGTTCTGCCAAAGCACATTTTTACCCAGAACACCTTTTTAGGGTTTAAGCATTTTCTGTATCTTACGTACTTCCGAGTTCCATTTCCACATGAGTTGCTACATTTTCCAAAGGGTTTCCATTTACCCCATTCAGACCATTTCCTTACTTTAAAAAGAATTGAATAAGTGCATAAATAAAGAAAAAATAAAATATCCTCATGAAGTAAAAATCATTTGTGATTTTAGTTTGCTTGAATCAAAGGATGAAAATGGTTCTCTAGCCTGGTTCCCTGTCCTTGTTTTGCTTTATATGATCCGCGACACTAGGCTTTGGAAAGAGTGAGCCAGGGCACCAGACTATATAGTTCTTCCTGATCGAACAGTGTTCCGTTTCCGTCTTGGGATGCCTGTCATTTTGAGCATGTCTTCTATTTTTTCTTACATTAACAATTACTTCTCAAAATTTCTATGTCAGTTTTTACTAAACTTAACACCAAGCATCTTTGAAAAAAGGGATTAATTTTTTAATGAAGGGTCACATACTTTCACAGAAGGATAATTCAAAACCTGTTAAAATTTGGTGACATAATTTAAAAAAATCTTTTGGAAATGCCACTTGGTCTAAAACAAAAACAGAATCTTATATATATATATATATATATATATATATATATATATATATATATATATATATATATATATATATATATATATATATTGTTCAATTAATAATGTCAATAAGTTAGATTGGGATCTTTTTCGGAAATCAAAGTTTTACCCGAGATTATACAGGAAATATTTAAGTTTCTAAATCCTTTTAAGAGCAGAAGGACGATGATAAGTCTTTTGTCGAAGAATATTCAGGTAGTGTAAATTTGAATCTGCGGATCTAAGAAGTCTGATTTTATTTAGATTGTAAAAGAATGTATATTTGAGTGAGAGGCGTCAACAGGGTATGAAGTCTTCACATCGGAATATACATTTGTAATAGAATTTGTTCTTAACTGAAACAGATGGGTTCTGTTAAGTCATATACATGTGAATCATATAAAATGTAGATTCCAGATTAAATAAAAATTGTGTTCCATCCCTATTCCCAGTGAGGAAGTATAAAGCCTCATGAAGGAATAAAAGTATATCGGAAAAAAATTGTGTTTTGACAGGTCATATCACATGTAATATAATTGAAGGATCATCAGGTGGTGTGGATCAAGGTTATGCAATCATGTGCACTAATCCAAGTTATTTAAAAGTATTCATTTTAGTTCAATTTGAGAATTTAGTCTTATTTGAGAAAAAAAATTAAAATCATCAACTCTTTCTTTCTCTTGTATAATGGAAAATGTTTCCATCAATAATCACACTTAGGGCAACGGCAACTGAGTATAACATGATTTATAAATGAATGTTGAGACACTGAGGTATGTTCTGTATCTTACTTATTTCTGAGTTCGCCTCCAACAGTTACATATTCCTATGGGGCTCCAGCTATCCCATATTGACAAGATTTCGGTTTTTTAAATGAATAAAAACGCTATTTGCTCATAACTATAAGAACTAAAAAAAGTTACTTTACTGTTTTAGTTTTAAGAGAAGCGATGCTTTCAATCATATATGTGTGTACTAAGCTTTACCGCAAGGGGAGCGATGACATCGTTTATATGTATATGTTTTCCTTCTGTCGTAACATCTTTTGCCCCAATAACGTAGGCCTCGGTTTAGACATGTTCTGTATCTGACGTATTTTTGAGTTACTTTCCTACAGTTACAAGTTCCAACTGGTCTCCATTTGCCCCATGCAGACCATTTGGGATCTACAGTAAATTGATATTAAATGTATACCGGGATATCAGATTCTTCAACGAATATTGCCTTTAATTAGAATGTTCTAATTCTGTACAATTAAGCATTGAAGTCTAACATCTTGTCTGTTGTCGATCTTTTAACAGAGCTCACCTAAACGAATATTGTCTTTAAGTAAGTCCCTTATTTAATCAACATTCTACATGTTCTAGAAGTTTAAATCTCAAGATGCAACATGTTTGAGCTTTGATCTGATAGAGCTACGATGTACTAGGGATTAGACTCAACAAGAAAATGTAATTCAAATTCAACATCTGAAGCAAGTTTGAGAATGTTCATCGCTTGTGCATCATACCTGCAAAGTTGGTAAAGATAGGTATAATAGTTTCTTGGTAATAAATTTGCGTTACAAAGTATCACATTGAACTATGATGAAGATAGGACTGAAGACATCGTGACCACTCTAAACAGTGAACTTTTGTTTACCAAAACTGGTTTCAAAAACGGATGTATTTATAAATCAGATAATGGCAATGTTACAGCAACACTTTACAAATCAACGCAGACAATCCATATTCAAGGTAGTGAGAGATTCACCTGGCTACGAGGGTTCATCGGACAAATTCCTCACCTGCCAATAACTGAGGTTAGTAAAATTGAAGGGATGCTACAGCCACAAAATACCTCCACCCCTAAACTGCAAGATATAGAAAGCAGACCATGTTAGAACTGTAACAGCTATCAAATTATTCAAAAACTGACAAAGTCTCTTACTGATCTTTCTGAGGAAGTTGCCAGACTGAAAAGGGAGTTGCATTCTCTTCGGAACAAGAACACTCAAACAGTAGATGCAACTACTCAAACAAGGGAACCACCTAGAAAAACTAAAGCCATTGATACGCGGGACATTAAGGATAATCATGTACAAGGCGTGTCAAGACATACTCAGTGTACTCAAGTTGAGACAAGGGAACTCTCAACTTCTACAGAAACCTTGCCAGCCCAAAAAGAACAGAAAACCTTCAACAGACCAAAAAAGAACCATAACCCGACGACCGATGTTCCATCTGGAAAATCTGTTCTAATAATAGGAAGCTCGATCCTACAGCGAATCCGTACCCGTGGATTGCTGAAAAATGTTGCAGTCCGTACAAACAGAGGGGCTCGGCTGTCCGATATTAGACGGATTCTTCTGGGAATTGATCTAACACCATTCCAGTCAATCGTCATCCTTGCCGGTGGAAATGATGCTTCCAGCAACAGAGATATTGAGACAAGTGAATGTGATCTCACCGAAATTGTGCTTGATATCCAAAGGAGATCGCCATGCACCGAAATTTATATCTCGGAGATACCACCACGAAGAGATACCAGTGTTTCCCAAATAAACGAAATCATCAAATTTGTTTGTGAGGAATACAGTGTAAATTTTATCTCACTCCGAAATATGTTCCAGTCCTCGGATCTGTTCTGGAAGGATGGGATCCATTTATCCGACAGGGGAACATCAACACTTCTGAAAGCGTATGATGCTCACGTTCGGATAATTAAAACGCGTCGTTCAAATGACACACAAAATATACCTGAAAATATGAATGTGTGTTTCTACTGTGGTGAATCTGGCCATTCCTCCCAGAATTGTCGGCACGGATTTAAAATCGTCTGCTGGAACTGCCGCTCACCAGGTCACAAAGCAAAACACTGTTCGTATTAGGAATTCGGCAAAGAAGAAAATGCCGAACAATCTACCCTCTTAAATTCAAACCCCTTTAGTGTTTTAAACAATCTCTGTGCCGAATGTGGTGAAAAATCATGCAAATGTTCTTATATCTGTAGTGCACGCAATATCAAAGATCAATCAGTAGGATCAGATGTAGCTAAAAATTTAATGTCTCCTTCACAGTCAGAAAGTAACTGTAATGTAAATCCTGTCAAAAAAGTATTTCATGTGAAACCATGTACATCCTCCATTACTAAATCACCAAAACAAATTCTTAATTCAACAATTTCTACAAATATTGACCAATCACAAAAGGAAAAATCAAATAAATATTTAAACAATTTCGGACTCGTCAAGAAAGGTCTTAGATTTGGGAATCTAAATATATGTCACATCATGCCAAAAATTGACCAACTTAAAATTCTTTTATCAGGATATCGCTCTATGGATGTTTTTGGTATCTGTGAAACATTTTTAAATGAGCAAACAGACAACTGTGTGTTAGATATTGAAGGATTTAATTTTGAAAGAAAAGATAGATTATTGAAATCAGGAGGAGGATTAATGGTCTATGTTTCCAAAAATTTACATTACAAACGTAGAAATGATTTTGAAATAGGTAACATTGAATCAATATGGCTTGAAATTAATATTCCAAACTCAAAACCAATTTTTTATTGTACCACATATAGGCCCCCATCTGCCACCACCTGCTGGGTAGAAAGTCTAACACGGGAGATAAATTGTGCATCCCGCTGTGACGATGCTGAAATTATTTAAACAGGTGACTTTAACATCGACCTGATTAAAGACCCCCCAAGATACTGAACCTCTGCTTTTGAAGAATATGACTTCACACAGCTAATTAATGTATCTACACGAATAACAAACACCTCATCAACTCTTATTGACCATATTTATACTACCCTACCAGAAAACATATGTGAATCTGCAGTACCATCAATTGCGATATCTGACCATTATCCTGTCTGTTTTACGAGAAAATTAAATAATAACATCAACAAATTCAAACACACAGAAATAACATACAGAGACTTTAAACGATTTAATGAAAATAATTTTCTTGCAGACTTAAAAGAGGTAAATTTCCAATCATTGGAATCATTCTCAGACCCTAATGAAGCACTCAACAAATTCTATTCACTTTTTAATGCTGTATTAGATAAACATGCAAAAGTAAAAACAAAAAGACTTAAGCATGACACAAGACCTAAATGGTTAACTCAAGAAATTCTGCAAGCTCAACACATGCGTGATAACCTCCATAAAAATAAAGACTTTGAAAATTTCAAAATATGGCACAATAAAGTCACATCACTAATTGAAAACGCCAAGATTAATTATTATAAAACAGCTATAGAACTAAACAAAAATCCAAAACAAATGTGGGATGTATTAAACAGTTTAGCTTCTAAATCTCGTAATTATATTCCAGCTGCACTTGCTAAAAATAATTACATCACAGAGGATACACAAGAAATAGTAGAATTGTTTAATTCTCATTTTTCAAATATTTCTGAAGAACTTCTTTCAGGCATAAATAAGGAGGAAAATGACTTTACAAATCTTTTAGATTTTGTTAAATCTAAATTAGGTGCAGACAAGTTTTCTATCCCGCTCATAAATCATGACGAAGTACTAACCTTACTCAATAAACTAGATATAAGTAAATCATCGGGCCACGTCTATTGAAACTTACTTCACAAATAATATATAAACCTGTGACCCATATTATAAATACTAGTATCATAGCTGGTATTTTCCCCGAGAGTTTTAAACTTGCAAAAGTTAACCCAGTCTTTAAAAAAGGAAACAGATTAGATCCAAATAATTATAGGCCTATTTCTATTTTACCAACATTATCAAAAATTATTGAAAAACATGTGGCAAAATATTTACGATCTCTTTTTTCGGATTTTGATCTTATAGTAGATTCTCAATCAGGCTTCAGAGAACTACATTCTTGCCAAACAGCCCTTACAAAAATTACCGATGAATGGTTAAATGAAATGGACCAAGGTAAACTTGTTGGTACTGTTTTTCTTGATTTCAGTAAAGCTTTTGACCTTGTCAATCATGATATTCTACTTAAAAAACTACAATGTTATAACTTTGATGCAATAACTTTACAATGGTTCAGATCATACTTAAGTGAGAGACTTCAAAGTGTCCATCTGTCCAACAAACACTCATCTTATCAGCAAGTCACAGCGGGAGTTCCACAGGGATCTATACTAGGTCCTCTTCTGTTTTTATTTTACATTAATGATCTTCCTTAATGTATTACAAAATCCAAATTAGAATTATTTGCAGATGATGCCACTTTACATGCATCAAGTAAAGATTGTCAAACTATTGTAGATACATTATCAACGGATATAGCTTTTATAGAAAAATGGTGTTCTCAAAATCAAATGGTTCTAAATGCTACAAAAACCAAATGCATGTTAGTTGGTACGCATCAAAAGAGATCAATTTTTTCTGAGAATGAAATTAATCTATTTGTATCAAACAAAAAACTTGATATTGTATCAAATGAAAAAATTCTTGGAGTTTATTTAGATAATTCTTTACAATACAATGTACATATTGACCATGTTTGTAAAACACTGTCACGTAAAATTTCTGCCCTCCGTAGAATTAAAAAGTTTCTTCCTATTCATACACGCAAGCTGTTTTACAATGCATATATTATGCCTTCAATTGATTATTGTCTAACTATTTGGGGTAATACATCTAACTCAAATCTTGACAGAGTATATAAGCTTCAAAAACGCGCTGCAAGATGTATTTTAGATGCTCTTCCTGATGCGCCCTCACAACCTCTCTTTGAGAAACTAGATTGGCTCACAGTGTATGAGCAACTTATTGTAAATAAATATGTTTTGTTATATAAATCATTGTTCAACTCTCACCCTACTTATTTAAATAGTATGTTTAACTTCCAGTGTAATAATCAATGCAATCTTCGATCAGAATCTAATTTAGACCTGTGTGTACCAGCTCGTAACTTAAACTCTTTGAGAACTCCTTTCAATACTCTGGTGCTATCTTATGGAATAATTTACCTGTGCATATAAAAATGTCTCAAACACTGAATGCTTTCAAACATCAAGTCAAAATATTTGTAAAACAATGTAGAAATAACTTATGATTATTTATTTAATTGTGTGTATTTGTATATGGATGTATATTGATTTTTGTCTACAGAAGGCCCCGGGGAAGAATAGTGCTTGCACTAATCGGGCTACCTTCTTTAAATAAAGTATTATTATTATTATTATTATCATTATTATGTATCATCTATGCAAATTTGCTGAATATAGGGTCCATATCCACCTTAGAATGAACTCCTGCACAGAAAGCTCATCGGGAAATAGTAGGTTTGATTCAACATCCAAAGAAAGTCCATAAGTGTTCATCCGTAGAAATATCATCCATGCAAGTCTGTTCAACATAGATATCATAGTTGCTTGGAAATGAACTTGAATCAAAACTTATAACCTATTCATTAATCCGGAAAATGTAGGTCAGATCCATCATCCGAAGCAAACCAAGTAGTGTGCATCCTTAGATGCATCATCCATGAAGTTTGATCAATATATAGGGCACCATATAGATTAACCCTAAATTATTCTACATGCATATATGCATGTATATAAATGTTTAAAATTCTGTTCAGAAGTATCACGAACTTTGTTGAATTTTCAGAGATTAAATACTGTCAATTATAAAAATGTAATTAGCTTTACCACAAGTGGAGCGACGACATCGTTTATATTTATATGTTTTCCTCCTGCCGTAACATCTTTTGCCCCAATAACGCAGGCCTCGGTTTAGACATGTTCTGTATCTGACGTATTTTTGAGTTCCTTTCCTGCAGTTACAATTCCCTACTGGTCTCCATTTGCCCCATGCAGACCATTTTGGATCTACAGTAGATTGATACTTGTATCAAAGTAAATATCGGATTTACAAAAAGAATATCCTCTTTAGTTAGAATTATTTTATTCTGTACAATTAAGCACTGAATTCTCTCATCTGGATGTCGTCGATCGTTAACAGAGCTCACCTCAATGAATATTGTCTTTAAGTAAAGCAAAATCCCCTATTTAACCACCAATCTAGAAGTTTAAATCTCAAGATGCAACTTGTATGGATCTTTGATCTGATAGAGCTTACAGGTACAGTAATAGAGATTATACGTATCCAAAAACTTCAAACTAGTCACTTTGGAAATTGTAATTCAAATCCAGCATCTGTAGCAAGTTTGAGAATGTTCATCGCTTGATGCATCATACCTGCAAATTTGGTAAAGTTAGGCCTAATAGTTTCTTGGTAATAGAACTGCGTTCAAACCATTAACCTAAATCATTACTTGGAAAATGTATGTCAGATGCAAAATCCGAAGGAAGTCCATTAATATACATCCTTCTGTTCTCATCTATGCAAATTTGCTCAACATGGGACTTATAACTCCTTCAGAATGAACCTGCTCCAAAAACTTGAACCTGTTCGCTCATCCGGAAAATGTAAGTCAGATTCAACAAGCAAGTCCATCAGTGTGTATCCTCAGAAGTATCATCCATGCAAGTTTGTTCAACATAGTGCTCACAGTTGTTTGGTAATGAAACTGATTCAAAATCTTTAACGTATTCACTCATCCGGAAAATGTAGGTCAAATCAAGCATCGGATGCAAACCAAGTAGTGTGCAATCGTCAATGCATCACCCATGCTAGTTTGCTCAACATAGGGCTCCATACAGACCATCTTCGAATTACTCTCTTTAAATTACTTGCATACATTCTGTTCAGAGCTATCATGACTATAATATACATTGTTGAATTGTAAGAGATTAAATAATGTCACTTGTAAAACTGTAATAAGCTTTACCACAAATGGAGCGACGACATCGTTTATATCTATATGTTTTCCTCATGCCGTAACATTTTTTGCCTCCATAACGTAGTCCTCGGTTTAAGCATGCCCTATATCTTACGTATTTTTGAGTTCCTTTCCTACAGTTACATTTCCCTACTGCTTTCCAGCTGCCCCATGCAGACCATTTTGGATCTACAGAAAATTAATATTAAATGTAAATATCAGATTTGTTTTTTGTCATCATTTCGTAAGTTCTATGGTCGATACAATAACCTTATCAGCAAACACAATTGTTAATTCAGTCAAATGCTGACTGACTTTTTTCATACTGCATGTAATTATTTGTCCATCATTTATATACTGAATTGACGCCGAATTTTTCGGGATTTCCCGATCATTACAAGGCGCACACGGCGGGTTTGACTGGTCAGCAGGGGATGCTCACCCCTCCATGGCACTTGATCCCTCCTTTGGTGTTTTGGAGGTCCGTGTTTGCTCTGCTCCTATTTTGTACTGTTTTATGAACTTTGATCTTGAAAAATATTATTTTCAGTACACAATGAAATCCTTATCTCTTCATTTCAGATCCTGTGTGGTTAATAGACATAAGTGATGTTTAAACATGGAAAGTTGAATGTCACTGTTGAATATTACAATTCAAGGCAAAATGACAATTTAACTTTAAACGTACTTTATTTGTTATATAAAATATGTGGAGATAACAAACCGTAATTTTGCTCAAAAGTCCATAAAACAATACAATATAGGAACAGTGCAAACAATACCCAAGAACCCCAATACATAAGAGGTGGGATCAGGTTTTATGAAGGAGTGGACATCCCCTGCCGACCGATCACACCTGCCGTGTGCTCCTTGTCATGATCCTGAAATAACGGGAAAATCCGTCACCTAAGTAACAATGACTAACAATTAGTATGAAAACGTCAGTCGGCATTTATCTCAATGAGAAATTGTCATTGTATCGATCACAGAACTTACGAAATGATGACTTCAAAACGAGAATGCTGATTTTCATATTTAAACTACAATCTGGTAATTGTTTTAAACAATATAAATATTTGGTGATTTTACTCATTGAAGAGTTTACATGGTTTTTTTTCGTATATTCTACTGTGACAAGGTTTCGAGTGCGTGTTATAAGATAACTTGTCTTGCATTTGTATCTTCAGCTACTGCTCACGCACACTTTGCCTGTTTACGTGGCTTCATGTGTGTACATGTGCAACGATGTGAATTTCAAACATAGGTAAACAGAGCTCACCTCAACGAATGTTGTCTTTAAGTAAAGCAAAGTTCCACATTTAACCAACAATCTAGACGTTTACATCTCAAGATTCAACATTTATGCAGTTTTGATCTGATCGAGCTTGCATTAATTTGGTTAAAGACTAGTAACCCATTAAAAAATTTAACTCAAATCCAGGATTTGAAACAATTTGAGAATGTACATCCATTGATGCAGCATCCATGCAAATTTGGTGAAAACTGACCTGATAGTTTCTTGGTAATAGACATGCTACCAAAAACTTAACCTGGTCCAATACCTGGAAAATGTGTATCAAATCCAGATTCCGAAACAAGTCCATTAGTGTGCATCCTTAGATATATCATCCATGGAGATTTGCTCAACGTAAGGCTTATACATTCTTCAGAATAAACTTGCTTTAATTTTTTTTTACCTATTTACTTATCCGAGAAGTGTAGGTCAAATTTAGCAACAGAAGCCAATTGGTAGTGCTCATCCATAGATTTGTAAGTTTAGGCAACAAAGATTTATATTAACTTAGAAATATGATCTGCACCAAAATGCAAGTCAGATTCAGCATTGGGTGCAAACCTGGTAATTATTCATCCTTAGATGTATTATCTGCGCAGGTTTGCTAAGCATAGGACTCCAAACAGACCATCCACGAATTATTTTTTAATTACTAGTAATTAAATCAATTCTAGCCAGACCTATCAAACCTAAAGAGTACATCACATACACATCGTTTATATTTATATGTTTTCCTCCTGCCGTAACATCTTTCGCCTCCATAACGTAGTCCTCGGTTTAAGCATCTCCTATATCTGACGTATTTTTGAGTTCCTTTCCTACAGTTACAATTCCCTACTGGTCTCCATTTGCCCCATGCAGACCATTTGGGATCTACATTTAATTGATATAATATGTAAATATCAGATTTATAAAAAGAATATCCCTTTATTGAGTATTATTCAATTCAGTACCATTAAGCATCGAAGTCTTTTACCGGTATCATGAAGTCGTCGATCTCATAATATCGCTATGTTGTCAAACTGAATGCCGCAATAATATTTTAGTTGAAGATGTAGAGGGGTGTAATACAGCACATAACCCGTTGTTTATAGTTACATTTTCCTATAATCTCTCTTCAAAGATTAAATTATATTTTTAATTCACGTTAAACGCTTAACATTTTTATTTCAGAACCTGTTTTGTTAATAGACGTTTAACAGCGAAATTTGAATGACGCAATTCAATAATTGTTATGATCAGTAAATAATGGGAAATCCGTCGTCAAGTCTGTGTAAATTATTTAAATATTGACTAACAATTAGTACAAAAATCATCAGTCGACATTCATTAAAATCCAGAAACTGAAACAAGATTGCGAGTGTGCATTATCCGTGCTAATTTGGTAATAATAGGCTTAATAGTTTTTTGGTAAAAGACCAAACATTCAACCTTGTTTATTACATGTCCATGTACTTGGAAAATGTATGCCAGATCCAGAATCTGAAGCAAGCCTGGTCTACATGTAGGATTTGAATGATAGATTCTGCAAACCAACTTTAAATCGCGTGCCTTATTTGATATTCGCAAGTTCTGTGTCCTACTTTAACTTGCGAATATTAATGGTTGATACCCAATCATCATGCTTAGTATTGTAGATAATGTTTCCTAGGTCGCAAAAATTAATCGTCGCGGATTGCATGATTTCGAACTGACGAATCATGAATAAAGGGGGACATGAATAATAATTTGTGTACAGTACTTAGATATGAAGAGAAATCTGCGTCACGAAGAATGGGCTCCGCGAATGAAATCTGCACCACAAATTTTAACCTGTTCACTTATCATAAAAAGGCATGTCAGATACAGTGCAGGGAAATAATTTTGTTACAGCATCAATGCTGATTTTGGTGCTTCCTATGCTTGCTGATTTTGATGCTTCCTTTGCTTGCTGATTTTGATGCTAGTTATCCTTATCCTGATCCTGGTTTGATCCTTATCCTGATGCTGGTTTGAAACTAGGTCAATGCTAGTAATGCTACCAGAAGTAGGATTATCCTGCCGGAAGTGGATAATTCAAAAACAGCATCGCTATTTTAAGCCATTAAAAATAATATTTGGGGTAATTTTTATTTGTAATTTGTATTAAATGACTTTCCTTTATCTGTTTTCACTTTGGTCAATGCTAGTTCTATCCTTTGCTTGCTGATGCTGATCAAAGTAATGCTGTTTTTTTAAATGCTGATGCTGATGCTAGTTCTATCCTGATCCTACTTATGCTGATCCTGATGCTGGTTTATGTAACAAAATTAGTTCCCTGCACTGTACATCATCAGAAGCAAGCCTGGTAATGTGCATCCTTTGATGTATCATCCTTGTAAGTTTGGTCATCATAAGGCTCATAGTTTTTTTAGAAATGAGACCTGCATCAAAAACTTTAACCTATTTACTCTTCCGGAAGATGTAGGTCAGATCCAGCATCCGAAGCAGTCTGGTGGTTGTATCAAGTTTTGTCAATATTGTGCATATAGATACGTTCAGCATCTAAAACATCGACTAGTACAATGAAACGCTAAAACCATTTTCCATGCAACTCTAATCAAGGTAGGGTATAGAATAAACTGAACAAAACTTTTGACGCCGATGTCGACACTGACGCGGACACTGACAACAACACCGACAGTTCTAGCTGCTTCATACAGACCATCCTCGAATTATTATTTTTTTTATTAATTAAGAAATATCTGGTCAGAACAACATGTCTAAGAACTCTTAAGTATCTTGTTAAATTTTCAGATTTACTACTGTTAATCATAAAAATGTAAAAAGCTTTACCACAAACGGAACGACGACATCCTTTATATTTATATGCTTTCCTGCTGCCGTAACATCTTTTGCCCCAATAATGTAGGCCTCGATTTAGACATGTCCTGTATCTGATGTATTTTTGAGTTCCTTTCCCACAGTTACATTTTCCTACTGTTCTCCATTTTCCCCATGCAGACCATTTTGGATCTACAGTAAATTGATACTTGTATCAAATGTTAACATCAGATTTACAAAAAGGAATATCCTCTTTAGTTCAAATTATTTTATTCTGTACAATTAAACATTGAATTCTAACATCTGGATGTTAACAGAGCTAGCTCAGGGAATATTGATTTTACGTATGGCAAAGTCCTTTATTTAACCAACAGTCTAGAAGTTTAAATCTCAAGATGCAACATTTTTGTAGCTCTGATCTGATAGAGCTTGCAGGTACTAGGGATTAGATTCATCAAAAAACTTAAAGCTAGTCACCCATCAAGAAAATATCATCCAAATCCAGCATCTGAAGCAAGTTTGAGAGTGTTCATCGGTTGGTGCATCATCTCTACAAATTTGGTTAAATACCGGTATGCCTAATAGTTTTTTTTGGAAACAGACCTGCATTCAAACCTTAACCCGTTTCATTACCTGGAAAATGTATGCCAGATCCTGAATCCAAAGAGAGTCCATAAGTGTGCATCCTAAGATGTATCATATATGCAAATTTTCTCAACATAGGGCTTATGCCTACTTTAGAATGAACCTGCTCTAAAAAAATCTGTACGCTCATCCGGAAAATGTAGGTCAGATTCAATATCTTAAGCAAGTCCATAAATGTACATCCTTAGAAAAATCATACATGCAAATCTGTTCATCATAGAGCTCATAGTTGTTTGGAAATGAAACCTGCTTCAAAACCTTTAACTTATTCACTCATCCGTAAAATATAGGTCAGATCAAGCATCCGAAGCAAGACAAGTAGTGTACATACTACCTAATTAGATGCATAATTCATGCAGGTTTGCTCAATATAGGGCTCCCTGCAGAACATCTTCGAATTATTCTCTTCAAATTAATTTTAAAAATTCTGCTCAGAACTATCACAGCTAAATGGCACTTTGTTGATTTTTTTTAAAGAGATTAAATACTGTCAATTATGAAAATGTATTAAACTTTACCACAAATGGAGCGACGACATGGTTTATATTTATATGTTTTCCTCCTGCCGTAACATCTTTTGCGTCCATAACGTAGTCCTCGGTTTAAGCATGTCCTATATCTGACGTATTTTTGAGTTCCTTTCCCACAGTTACATTTTCCTACTGCTCTCCATTTGCCCCATGCAGACCATTTTGGATCTACAGTAAATTGATATCAAATGAAAATATCAGATTTATAAAAAGAATATCCTCTTTAGTTAGAATTATTTAAATTCTGTACCATTAAGCATTGAATTCTAACAGCTGAATGTCGTCGATTTTGTACAGAGGTTACCTCAACGAAAATTGTTTTTAGGTAAGGCAAACTCCCTTATTTAACCAACAATCTAGATTTATAAATCTCAAGATGCAACATTTTGCAGTTTTGATCTAATAGAGCTTGCAGGTACTAGGAATTAAAATTATCCAAAAACTTAAAACTAGTCAGCCACCAAGAAAACGTCATTCAAATCCAGCGTCTGAAGCAAGTTTGAGAGTGTTCATCGGTTGGTGCATCATCCCTGCAAATCTGGTTAAGATAGTCCTAATAGTTTTATAACTTTCACCTGGTTCATTACTTCGAAAATGTATGCCAGATCCAGAAACCGAAGAAAGTCCATTAGTTTGCATCCTTTGATGTATCATCTACGCAATTTTTTTTTATTTCCCGATCATGACAAGGAGCACACGGCGGGTATGACCGGTCAGCAGGGGAAGCTCACTCTTCCATGGCACCTGACCCCACCTCCTATGTTTTGGAGGTCCGTGTTTGCCCTGCTCCTATTTTATATTGCTTTATGGACTTTTCATATTGAATGCTGTTCGTTAATTACCTCCATGTGTTTCATTCAACATAAGGCTCATGCGTACTTTAGAATGAATCTTCTCCAAAAACTTAAATCTCTTCGCTCATCCGGAAAATATAGGTCAGATTCCACATCCGAAGCAAGTCAAGCAGTTTGCATCGGATAATTCATGCAACTTTGTTAAACATAGAGCTCATAGTTGTTTGGAAATGAAACCTGCTTCAAAACATTTAACCTGTTCACTCATCCCGAAACTGTAGATCAGATCCATGATCCGAAGCAGGCCAAGTAGTGTACAATCTAATTAGATGCATTATCCATGAAAGTTTGTAAAACAAAGGGCTCATAGTTGTTTGAAAATGAAACTTGCTTCAAAACCTTCAACTTGTTTACTCATCCGGAAAATATAGGTAGATCAAGCATCCGAGACAAGCTAAGTAGTATGCATACTAATTACATTGTAGATGCATCATCCATGAAGTTTGCTCAATATAAAGCTCCATAAAGAGTATCTTCGAATTATTCTCTTTAAATTAATTTTAAAAATTCTGTTCAGATCTATCAGAACTATATGGTACTTTGTTGAATATTAAGAGATTAAATACTGTCAATTAAAAAACTTTAATAAGCTTTACCACAAGTAGAGCGACGACATAGTTTATATGTATATGTTTTTCTCCTGCCGTAACATCTTTTGCGTCCATAACGTAGTCCTCTGTTAAAGCATGTCCTATATCTGACGTATTTTTGAGTTCCTTTCGCACAGTTACATTTCCCTACTGCTCTCCAGCTGCCCCATGCAGACCATTTTGGATCTACAGTCAATTGATATCAAATGAAAATATCAGATTTATAAAAAGAATATCCTCTTGAGTTAGAATTATTTAAACTGTGCATCAGTAAGCATTGAATTCTAACATCTGGATGTCGTCGGTCTTTTAACTTAGCTCACCTCAACGAATATTGTCTTTAAGTAAGGCAAAGTCCCTTATTTAACCAACAATCATGAAGTTTATATCTCAAGATGCAACATTTTCGCCTTTTTGATCTAATAGAGCTTGCAGGTACTAGGGATTAGACTTATCCAAAAACTTAAAACTAGTCACCCATCAAGAAAATGTCATTCAAATCCAACATCTATAGCAAGTTTGAGAGTGTTCATCGCTTGATGCACCATCCCTGCAAATTTTGTTAAGATAGGCCTAAACGTTTCTTGGTAATAGACGGGCATTCAAACCTTTATTCTGAATGATTACTTGGAAAATGTATGCCAAATCCAGAAACCAAAGAAAGTCCATTAGTGTACATCCTTTGAGGTATACTAGTAATCTATGCAAATTTCTTTATTTCCCGATCATGACGAGGAGCACACGGCGGGTATGACCGGTCAGCAGGGGATGCTCACTCTTCCATGACACCTGACCTCATCTCCGATGTTTTGGAGGTCTGTGATTGATCTGCTATTTTATATTGTTTTATTGACTTTTGATCTTGAATGCTGCTAGTTATCTCCATGTGTTTCATTCAACATAAGGTTTATGCCTACTTTAGAATGAACCTGCTCTAAAAAATTAAACCTGTACGCTCATCCGGAAAATGTAGGTCAGTTTCAACATCCGAAGGACGTCCATAAGTGTGCATTCTTAGAAGTATCATCCATGCAAATTTGTTAAACATAGAGCTCATAGTTGTTTGGAAATGAAACCTGCTTTAAGACCTTTAACCTGTTCACTCATCCGGAAAATATAGGTCAGGCCAGCCAAGTAGTTTGCATATTAATTAGATGCATCATGTATGCAAGTTTGCTCAATATGGGGCTCCCTAGAAAGCACCTTAGAATTATTGTTTTTAAATCAATTTTGAAAATTCTGTACAGGACAATATGGTACTTTGTTGAATTTTAAGAGATTAAATACTGTAAATCATAAAAATATTATAAGCTTTACCACAAATGGAGCGACGACATGGTTTATATTTATATGTTTTCCTCCTGCCGTAACATCTTTTGCGTCCATAACGTAGTCCTCGGTTTAAGCATGTCCTATATCTGACGTATTTTTGAGTTCCTTTCCCACAGTTACATTTTCCTACTGCTCTCCATTTGCCCCATGCAGACCATTTTGGATCTACAGTAAATTGATATCAAATGTCAATATCAGATGTATGAAAAGAATATCCTCTTTAGTTAGAATTATATAAATTAAGTACCATTAAGCATTGAATTTTAACATCTGATGTCGTCGATATTATAACAGCACTGGCTCTACTGACAAACGGAATATAACAATATAATATATTTTGTCGGAACGGACAAGTGCTGTTATACAACACAATATTATTATAATTATTTTATTACCATTTTCTTATATTCTCTCTTCAATCATATTAATTTAAGTACATGCTGATTTTACAGTGTTTTAAAAACAATTGCTCTCGCAAATGCTTAATAATGTGAGCGCAAAAACGGTAGATTTGGGTGTTTTTACTTAATGAAGTGTTTATAGGTTCTATTGTGTATTCTACAAATACTTTCTATTGTGACGGGATTTTGTGCGTTAAGGGTTGTTATATGATGTTGATTTACAGTGACTTTCATAAAGAAAGCTGCAATGAATATAAACTTAAGTTAACAATTTGATGTAAATTTCCGACCTATGAAAGAATTGGAAAAGCTTTTATAAGATCTCAACTTACCACAGTGGCGGCGATAACAGGACTTGTACATGTATCTAAAGCTACTGCCGTAACATCTGCTGCCTCCGTTACGTGGCCTCGGGTTGGTACATGTCCTATATTTTACGTATTTCTGGGTTCCTCTTCCACATTTATTACTACATTTTCCATATGACCTCCAGCTGCCCCATCTAGACCACCCTCCATTTACTTAAAAATAAAGAAAAAAATGGAAACCCCCATCACCAATCACAATCTTAAGATAATTGAACAAAATTTCGGCTAAGAAACATAATTTGGACATATATATATATAGTTCTGAATGACTGTTTCCTGAATGACAGTTGCATAAGAGAGAGCCAATCTCAGTATGTTATGATCTGATTTTTAATGGCTCGGGGGACTTTGTTGAAAACTCACTGATCTTTAAAATCATCTACTCTATATTTGAAAAACAAACAAAACCGTGAGCATTGCACGTCTAAAAATTGGTTTTCGGGAAAGATCATTTGAGGGTCTAGCTTGTAATGAGACCTAGATCCCGTAATTTCTATTGATGATGCATTTAAGCTTACGTATACGATTGTTGTATGCAATGTTGTTTCACTAAACATGGGACCATACATGTTAAGAAAGTTGCATCACTTGGTATATGGAATATCTCAGTTAACACTGGACCGTATGTGTTCAGTAGTTGCATCATGTTGTATATGGAATATTTCTCTAAACACGGGACCATACGTGTTTAGAAAGTACATGTTTTGTACATGAAATGTTTTACTAAACACAGGACCATATACATGTTTAGTAGGTTACATCATGTTGTAATAGATATTGGCTAAACACAGGACCATATGTGTTTGAATAGTTAGATCATAATGTACATGGAATGTTTCACTAAACACGGGACCATACGGGTTTAGAAAGTACATTGTGCATGGAATGTTTCACTGAATACGGGACCATACGTGTTTAGTGGGTCACATGTTGTAAATGGGAGATTGTCTAAACACGGGACTATACGTGTTAAGGAATTTATACCACTTTGTATATGTTATATGTCACTGAGCACGGGGCCATACGTGTTGAGGCAGTTTCATTACTTTAAATATACACAATATTTATTAATTTATTTGAAATGTCTCTTGCTGACATCAGTTACCAATAGTATGTCAGATAAGCGTTATACCATATGTATAACATTATCTGTATTGTCAGATTCCGCTTATTAGCTACATTACAGCTTTTCCTTTCTTTCAAGCAGATCTATTTCATTTTTCATGTTTTTGGAGAAAACTAGCAATGTCTCTCTATATTAGAAATAAGTTATTGTAATTCACAGTTTGCTGTTCATTCTATCCAGGAAATAACATATTACCTGGTGTCTGAAAAGTGTTTACAAAACCTTTAACCATAAGAAAAGACCAGCTGGGATAGGATACAATATTTATAAATTTAAATGAATCAATAGGCTGAAAACACCTTGTGTAGCATGGGCCAAGCCAGAAGTTGTCTGTTGGTTCCTTATACATATCCTCACAAATTCAAACCCTCAGTTTGGTAATCTGTTTTTCCTCTCGAGTGGTCAGAAGTTGTCTGCAGTTAAGAGGAACATTTTATGCAACATGATGTAAGTTTGACATCTCGGTTGACTGGTCAGAAGTTGTCTGCAGTCATGAGACACATTTTATGCAGCATGGTGTATGTTTGACACCTTTGTTGACTGCTTCAGAAGTTAACTGTCTGCAGTCACGAGGCATATTTTTATGCAGCATGGTGTATGTTTAGCAACTTTGTTGACTGAACAAAAGTTGCCTGCAGTTAAGAGGCACTTTGATGCTGCATGGTGTTTGTTTGATACCTTTGTTGACTGGTCAGAAGTTGTCTGCAGTCAAGAGGCACATTTTGATGCAGAATGGTGTAAGTTTAACAACTTTGTTGACTGCAGCATGGTGTATGTTTTATACCTTTGTTGACTGGTCAGAAGTTGTCTGCAGTCAAGAGGCACATTTTGATGCAGAATGTTGCAAGTTTAACAACTTTGTTGACTGGTCAGGAGTTGTCTGCAGTTGACAAGGTCAGTGTTCATGATTATAAATTCCCATTTTGCTGTCTGGTTAATATTTACTACAGACAGGTGTTTTGTATACTTTTTAAAATTATTTCATGGTTTGTCCTTAGTAATGTTTTCACTCAGTCTTATTGGATATTTCTTTTTCTTGTTCACAATAACTATTGTATTGTCTTTTGAACTGAGTATATGTCAATTTTTTTTTAAAGATGTTTAAACGCTTGTGTATTAATCATCCTGTTAAGGAATTTTGCGTCTCCTGCCAAGACGCCTTTGAGTGGGTGGATCCAATCTCTGATTGGATTGTGGCTGTTTGTTATTTTGTTTTCCCACCTTTTTTGATGACAGGCAGCAGTTTATAGCATTTTGTATATGTCTTCCAAACTTATGATGTTTATAAGGGGGTCAACTTAATATGCATGTATATTGTACCTTGTGAAAGATTGAAGTAGGGTTTGAAAACTTATTCTAGTCTGTACTACCCCCCTTTTTTCCCTATGTACATCATGTTACAATGTCATGATGGTGTTTGGGTCAGATTTTGTAATATTTTGATTAAGATGTGTTATACTCAATATTTGTACCCCCTTTTCTGACTCCCATTTTGTAAACTGTATTATACTTCTTCCGTCATATAAGTTTATCCATAAATGACTTATTTCACTTCTACGTGATGTTATTTGTTTTTGCCTGTTTATCAAAAAACAAGCTCAGTCGTTTGGCAGGAGAACTAAGGAACATAAAGATATTTGTCAAATTCAACTGTATTGAGAAATATAGCATTAGGAAAAGTAAATAAAAGTAAAAAAAAAGTTTATATAAGAATTACAATGGGGTACATTAATATTTTCCATTGCATATTAATTCTTATTATAATGATTGTATGTTGTTCTCAAAAAAAAAAAAAAAAAAAAAAAAATTCACTCATATAATGTCGACATATCGGTCTTCAATTAGAACATTCTAGGCACCTTGGGGACATTTGTTGCGGTGATCTTGATTGTACCTACGCCTAACGAGTTACTGAAAATCGAGTTTTAAAGTTTCACGGAAGCCACAAGTGAATTTCGCTTCTAATTTCAAGGGCTTGGCCGAAGAACATTTACTACTACTTGTATGCGTCTTATACATTTGTCACTATAAACAAACTGTAGGGTCGCAGCAAATGAGAATTAAGCAAATGTTTCCCGATGACGAAGCGAACACCCTCGGTATATATGTCTTGTATTGTAAAGAAAATAAACAAAATCGTGAAAATATAACAGTCATCTTAGATTTAAATAGTTAGAAAAAGTGAAGAACTTTGCCTTCAATCAAAACAAAATTTTTTTGTATCCGTTCCAAATAAAGAAAATACAAATGTGTATTTTTACGGTAAATTTTTCTCAGAATTTGTAATTTAATCTTTTTTCAAAAAAAATTATATCAATCATCAAAAACATTTTTTTAAGAATATTTAAAAAAGTGAATTGGTACCTTTGCAGGTTGTTTTGCATATTTTATACACAAAAATGGGTCTTCTTCTATGTCTTCTTCCATGTCTTCTTCCATGTCGGTTACCTCTTCTCTTGGAACGTCTCTTGTAATTAGATCTTCTACCAGAACGACGACGGTTTATACCTCTTCGATAAAAACCTCTTATATAACGTCGCCTGTAAATCCGAATTTGGGTACGACGCCTGTACACGCGTCTTCCAGATCGCCGAACAGTTACATAAGTTCGCCTATACGTGCGTCTTCGAGATCGTCGAACAGTAACATAAGTTCGCCTGTAATTGCGTCTTCGAGATCGTCGAACACTTACGTATCTGCTCCTGTAAACGCGTGTTCGAGACCGTCGAGCAGAATTCCGACGCCTATAGCTGTACCTACGTCTTCTGCGAGAACGTCGAACACTTCGTTTTCGTCGTCTGTAAAATCGTCCTCGTCTGATTTTAAAGCGAGAGCCGTGTTTTACTTTGTAACTCCCTCTTAAATGGCTTCCTCTGAAATTTGTTTTAATTATATTTACATTAATGTACATGCATTGCATAATGAAAGAAAGTAAAGTATTCAAACCAAATTATCAGGAATTCTAACATTATGTTGTAAACTACTCTAAAGAAAAGATTATAAACAGCAACAAGTATTCAAGAAAATAAAATCTCAATTACTAGTAATGCGTAGAAATAAAAAAAAAATAAAATTATGTAAAACAGCGATCAAAAACCCAATTTGTTTGAAATTCACATAATGAGTATACAAGAGTAGAAACTCTAAAGTTTTTATCCGTGACACCTTTTTGAAACATAAAGAACTACTTCTTTCGATTATGTATTTAAGGAAGTCTTTTTGGACGTTGTGCAAGATGGGTTTTTTTCCAAATGAAGTTTTACTAATAAAACTATAAAACTTTATTTTGCAATTATCTATTCTATTGCCACTTCTGTGTTATCAAAATGTTAACTTATTAAGTTTGGTTTAAGTTTATGATCTTGGCACCTGGCCTGGGGGCCATAACACTTAAGACGAGTTCACTTTTTATCTCAATCTCACTTTTCCACTATATATTCCTTTGGAAAAAGTGAGACTGAGATCAAAAGTGAGCTCGACTAAGTTTTATGGCCCCTATATTAAGCTAAGCCTAGACCAGAATGCATTACAATATGATGAAAAAAGTGAAAAATATGTTATGGTTTAGTGATATTTGGTGGCATTATTTTTAATTCACCCTTACATGAAAACGTGATTGTAATAAATATATTTCCTTATTTATACCCCTTTTTTTAATTTACTAAAATGAATTTAAACATACCTGTACCCATGCTTTGATGGTGACCAATATCCTCTAGATTTCGAGATGGTCAAACATTTATAGGTTTTGATTCCAGTCCTTTTGTTACAATATCTAAAACGATCGCCATACACTGAATTAATATGTGAACACAAGTTCAGCACCACTTGAAAACAGAAATATTAAATTGTAGAAAAGTCATCTTACGAAAGTACACAGGAGAACAGGTAAACTAAAAAACAAAGGCTAAGTAACAATTTGATGTTCATGTTGGAATGAAAAAGCGATGATAGGGATGGGAAAATGTTTTCATGTATCAGCAAATCCAAACTGAAAAAATAACACGCAAATATTTTATCAAATTGTAACCTGATATTAAATGTTTCAAATAGTGGATCCCTTTACAATACAACAAAGAAAAGTAGGTCTTGCTTTAAACTCCAAAAATCAATGTTTCAACGTCAATTGTTACAATTTTTATATGCAATGTTATATTTTATACTGCACTGAGATTTTGTGGTATACGGTATTTTTTCCAAATACAATTCCTCACAATACAATTGCAAATTTTCTGGTAAAAAATTATGTTCATATTCCATCCGAGTAAATTTAAATACTAGTACTGAGTATATATTTTACATCATTTACAGTGTCATGGTTCTCTGTTAGGGACCAGGCAAAATTTATCACAATGATGAGACCGGTACAAACAGACATGGGACAATTAGTTTATTCATCGAAGAAAACTGGGGGACAAATTAAAACATTTTTAAGCGTCAGTACCAATGTGACAAACAGTTTTTTTTTTTTAACGCATTACAGTACAGTTTCGCACATTTACTCATAGTTAAACTTGTTTCAATAAAGTATTTTTTTTTAAACAACATGCATTTTCACCTTTAAAAAATCATAAAAAGTGCAACATAAATCTATAAATTAAAGCTGCATGCAAAAGAAGAAGCTAAATGAATATACATATCGGGTAAAAGTAATTGTTTACAATGAACTTTTTTGTTATTATTTGTTGCAATATTCTGTGAACCATTAAGAAGTAACCATGGGACAGCAACTGATGATTAAGAAATATTTTTTTTTTATCAAATGTCTTAAACGCTTGCTAAATTAATTTATAAGCAGATTGATCAAAGTTATCTCCAGAAACAAAAATCAGACCTACAGAGGTCTTTGATGTAAAAGAAAATACTTTGAAAAATGTAAATTTTATGCTTGATTCATTTTAATATATTAATATTATTTGTCACGATATATGATGATAGAATTAACAAGCAAATTCAAAGAATTGTGGTCCCCCGCTTTCGGTGTCTTTGTGGGAAAGATGTTATTTTTTTATGACATATTGTGTCTAATATGAACACCCTATCATATGTCATTTATTTAGAAATTATCATTGAAGTTGATTTTTTTAAAAATAAGGTCAATCGTGAAGGTCAAGGTCAAGGGGTAAGAAATCATAGCATGCTCGGAATTATCTTGTCACAGGTAATGCACATGTCAAGTATGAAAGCACTATCTCTTCTCAATATATTAGGAACAAGATGTGTTTGTTAAACACTGATGACCCCGTATGGCAACATAACAAAGATTAAACTTTTCTTAAATGCAAATTAAATATATTATTACCCAAAGTAGGGTTTTTCTCACAAGAAATACGATTGTGAAGTACAAAATCCCTAGCATCACCTGTTCAAAAATTATAGTCGAGGATAAATTTTTGAAAGGTAGGACAAACTCCAAGCCGAAAGGGTCTGAGTTGTTGTTTCTTAGGAAAGGTCGTGTCACAAGTAATACATATGTGAAGGATGAAAACCCTAACTCTAACCGTTCAAAAGTTATGACCAAGGTTTAAGTTTTTAAGAAGTAGTTAAACTCCAAGGTCAAGGTCAAAGGGTCAAAGTTCTTGGTATCCAATGAAAAGCCTTCTCACAAGAATTACATATGTGAAGTACGAAAGCCCTAGCCCTTACCGTTCAAAAGTTATGGTCAAGGTTAAAGTTTTTTCATAAGTACAGAAATCTCCAAGGTCAAGGTCAAAAGGTCAAAGTTTTTGGTATCCAATGAAAGTCTTGCTACATAAATACATATGTGAAATATGAAAGTCCTAGTATCTACCGTTCAAAAGTTGTGACCAAGGTTAAAGTTTTTAAAAAGTAGTTCAAACTCCAAGGTCAAGGTCAAAGGGTCAAAGTTTTTGGTATTCAATGAAAGGTCTTCTCACAAGGATTACATATGTGAAGTACGAAAGCCTTATCCCTTACCACTCAAAAATTATGGTCAAGGTTAAAGTTTTTTCATAAGTATGGATATTTCCAATGTCAAGGTCAAGAGGTCAAGGTTATGGGTATTCAATGAAAAGTCTTGCTACAAAGAATAAATGTACGTGAAATATGAAAGTCCTACATGTAGTACCTACCATTCAAAATTTATGGCCAAAGTAAAAGTTCAGAATTTTTGTGTAAAAGTGGGTCATACTCCAAAGTCAAGGTCAAAAGGTCAAATTTGTTGGTACCCAAAGGAAGGTCTTGTCACAAGAAATACACATATGAAATATGAAAGTCATAGCTCCACTAAATCAAAAGTTATGTGCAAGGTTAAAGTTTTTGTGACGGACAGACTGACAGACTGACGGACAGACGAATGCGAAAGCGGGGGACAATTAACTTGGGCTTGGATATTTTAGAATCAACATAAAACATTTCACTTCACAATGATACTCTCTGAGCAGTATCCAGAATGGAAAATAGAATTCTTATTTTAGCAGTGTTGTAAATATTTAAAAATACTTCAAAAGGGGAAAAATCCTCTTAAAAAACAAATTAAACAAGCAAATTCAAAGAATTGTGGTCCCCCGCTTTCGGTATCTTTGTGGGCAAGATATCATTTTTAGGGTCAAGGTCAATAGGTCAAAGTTTTTGGTATCCCATGAAAGGTCTTGCCATAAAGAATACATACATGTATATTTAAAATATGAAAGTCCTAGTTTCTACCGTTCAAAAGTTGTGACCAAGGTTAACGTTTTTAAAAAGTAGTTAAAACTCCAAGGTCAAGATCAAAGGGTCAAAGTTCTTGGCATGCAATGAAAGGTCTTCTCACAAGGATTACATACGTGAAGTACGAAAGCCCTAGCCCTTACCGTTTAAAAGTTATGGTCAAGGTTAAAGTTTTTTCAGAAGTACGTAAATCTCCAAGGTCAAGGTCCAAAGGTCAAAGTTGTTGGTATCCAATAAAAGGTGTTGCCTCAAAGAATACATGTGTGAAATATAAAAGTCCTTGTATCTACCGTTCAAAAGTTGTGACCAAGGTTATAATTTTTAAAAAGTAGTTAAAACTCCAAGGTCAAGGTCAAAAGGTCAAAGTTCTTGGTATCCAATGAAAGGTCTTCTTACAAGAATAAAATATATGAAGTATAAAAGCCGTAGCCCTTACCGTTCAAAAATTATGGTCAAGAATATATTTTTTTCATAAGTACGTAAATTTCCAAGGTCAAGGTCAAAAGGTCAAAGTTGTTGGTATTCATTGAAAGGTCTTGTCACAAAGAATAAATATGTGAAATATGAAAGTCCTAGTACCTACCATTCAAAAGTTATGGCCAAAGTAAAAGTTTGGAATTTTTTAGTAAAAGTAGTTGAAACTCCAAGGTCAAGGTCAAAAGGTCAAATTTGGTGGTACCCAAAGAAAGGTCTTATCACAAGGAATACACATATGAAATATGAAAATTATAGCTCCACTAAATCAAAAGTTATGGGCAAGGTTAAAGTTTTTGTGACGGACGGACAGACTGACGGACCGACGGACAGACAGACGGACCGACGGACAGACGAATGAGATTTAATGTCCCCTCGCTTTCGCGAAAGCGGGGGACAACAAGCAAATTCAAAGAATTGTGGTCCCCCGCTTTCGGTGTCTTTGTGGGTGAGATGTTATTTTTTATGACATATTGTGTGTAATATGAACCATACTATCATATGTCATTTATTTAGAAAGTAACACTGAAGTTGATTTTTTTTGAAGGATGAAAACCCTAATCCTGACCGTTAAAAAGTTATGGCCAAAGTAAAATGTTTTTTTAAAAGTACGTCAACTCCAAGTTCAAGATCAAAGGGTCAAAGTTGTTGATATCCAATGAAAGGTTTTCTCACAAGGATTACATATGTGAAGTATAAAGGCCCTAGCCCTTACTGTTCAAAAGTTATGGTCAAGGTTAAAGTTTTTTTCATAAGTACGCAAATCTTTAAGGTCAATGTCAAAATTGTTGATATCCAATGAAAGGACTTGCCACAAAGAATACATATGTGAAATATAAAAGTCCTAGTATCTACCGTTCAAAAGTTGTTACCAAAGTTAAAGTTTTTTTTAAAAAGTAGTTAAAACTCCAATGTCAAGGTCAAAGGGTAAAAGTTTTTGGTATCGAATGAAAGGTCTCAAAAGGATTACATATGTGAAGTATGAAAGCCCTAGCCCTCACCGTTCAAAAGTTATGGTCAAGGTTAAAGTTTTTTCATAAGTACGTAAATCTCAAAGGTCAAGGTCAAAAGGTCAAGGTTGTTTGTATCCAATGAAATGTCTTGCAAGAAGGAATACATTTGTGAAATATAAAAGTCCTAGTATCTACTGTTTAAAAGTTGTGACCAAGGTTAAAGTTTTTGAAAGTTGTTAAAACTCCCAGGTCAAGGTCAAAGGGTAAAAGTTATTGGTATCCAATGAAAGGTCTTCTCACAAGGATTACATTTGTGAAGTACGAATGCCTTAGTCCTCACCGTTCAAAAGATATGGTCAAGGTTAAAGTTTTTCCATTTGTACGTAAATCTCCAAGGTCAAGGTCAAAAGGTCAAGATTGATGTTATCCAATGAAAGGTCTTGCTACATACAATACATATGTGAAATATGAAAGTCCTAGTACCTACTACTCAAAAGTTATGGCCAAAGTAAAATGTTGGAATTTTTGTGTAAAAGTGGGTCAGACTCCAAGGTCAAAGTCAAAAGGTCATATTTGGTGGTACCCAAAGAAAGGTCTTGTTACAAGGAATACACATGTGAAATATGAAAGTCATAGCTCCACTAAATCAAAAGTTATGGGCAAGGTTAAAGTTTTTGTGACGGACAGACTGACAGACTGACCGACTGACAGACTGACGGACAGACGGACAGCTAGACAGACGAATGAGATTTAATGTCCCCTCGCTTTCGCGAAAGCGGGGGACAATAGTTCCTTGTTTAGCTGCAGATCTGTAGCTCTCCGAAAAAATATATATTGATAGACCGGAGAGCTACAGAGCAACCCATTGAAAAAACTGTATCCCTCGTATTTATTGCGCACAAAAAAATGCGCTCGGTTGTCGATTTATTTCTCCATGTTTTTAAAGTGTAATCTCAAAATATTACTAACCGTGTGTTCCTAACATATTCTTTGACTCTTTCCACAACAAAACATTCCTCATAATTGTTGTTAATAGTCCTCCTGGCCCTGATATTGCAATCATCGGACATTTCGCTTATTTATACTGCCATTTTGGTTTCAAAGATAATTCGGTCCAATATGCTTCGTTCAGATGTCAACTACGAGAGAGCTTGATAGAGGAGAGAGTAATTTTTTGAAATCTTCCATTTTTTGCAATTGAGGTAAGAATTTGGAAAAATTAATCAAGAATCGAGCGCACTTTTTCGTGCGCAATAAATATACAGTTTTTTCAATTGGTGGCACTGTAGCTCTCCGGTCTATCAATATATATTTTTTCGGAGAGCTACAGATCTGCAGCTAGGTTCAATCCTATTTGAATGGAATTAATCGCAAATTGCATTTTTCAGATAGTGTGTCTCCCTGTTTGCTGATAAAATATTGAGTGAAAATTATAAAAAAAAAAAAAAAAAACAAGATGTGTTTGTGAAACACTATGCGCCCGGCGGCAACAAAGTTCAAAAAAAGCTATTTTTAGCATTTAGGTCACGGTCAAGGTCATAGACTTTGGTGTCATTTGAAAGAACTTTATTAGTGGAGTATGCATACCAAATACGAAGTCCCTATTTCCTATGGTTCAAAAGTTATGGCAAAAAGTCGAAAAAGCTATTTTTAGCATATAGGTCACAGTCAAGGTCACAAGGTCATTGACCTTGATGTCATTTGAAAGATTTAATTATTGGTTTATACCAAATATGAAGTCCCTATCTCTTATTATTCAAAATTTATGGCGAAGGTTAAAGTTGACAACAGACAGACAGATAAAAAGACAAACAGATAAACAAACAGAAAGGACAAAAACAATATACGCCCTGGATCTATCGATCCGGGCGCATAAAAATGAGAGAGAGAGAGAGAGAGAGAGAAAGAGAGAGAAAGAGAAAGAGAGAGAGAGAGAATGTTAATCCGGATAACTATTAGCGGCGGTTTTGGTTTTGAACATAATCGTCCGCAATTCTCTTCCGAGTAAAATTTTGGTGTAAACAGCATGACAGTGATTTAGGGAGTTGGTGTCTGTTGAGATATTTTGAAACAGAAATGAAACAGAACTCCGTTTGACGTTAACTCAGTTCTGTTAATGGATGAATATTTCAAGGCAGCACAGCATGGCGACCTTGAATATTTTAAAACATTAAATGCAAATGATGAAGGAAAACCAACGTGGACATTGAACACGCAGTACGACAAGTCGGGTGACACTGTCCTCCACATCGCAGCAAGATGTGGCCACTTGACTCTTCTGCAGTATCTCATAGACTCTGGTGCCGATATAGAAACCTCGAATCTCGATGGTAAAAGGCCCCTTCATGAAGCAGCCCAGGCTGGTCAGACAGGCTGTGTGGAGTGTCTACTGAAGGCAGGGGCGCAGGTGGACAGTTTAAAGAGAGCTGACTGGTTAGTGAGTACCAGTAGCTTATTGGTTTTAGATTGATAGTTTTATGGTTAGTGAGTACATGTATAAGTAGCTAATATTGATTGTAGATTGATACTTTTATGTAATGCTTACATTTGTCAATATAGGCATATGTACATGATGTAACTTTTTATCTAACCATATACATGTTCATGTATTAGGCCTAGAAAAAAAATATGTGTGTTTCCGCTTTCCCGACTGACCCTAATTTATAGTGCCGACCCTAAACATTTTTTTTAATGCTTTTGTCCCATGAAGTGCAAGATTTCACGCAGGGAATTAGAGTCTCCAACTTTGCAAGCTTTTCAAGACAGAAAGAAGTTTGGGTCACCTTTTATAAGTTTAAGTCACAGAAATGCTTGAAACCACCATTTCTTTTGTCATTAATGTTACTTCTATACACGTTTTGATTAAACAAGCAAAAAAAAATTTTCAAAAAAAAAAAAATAATTGCCTACCTACCTACCCTATATTTTTTCAGCCTGAAAGCGGAAACAAACATATTTTTTTTCTAGGCCTTATGGAGGAGAGGGTGAGTAAAATTCCGCAATTCTGGGGAATTAGCAGGTTTATCAATAAAGCAATGTAAACAACAACTACTGTGATCTTTGCAACTTCAGGGCTAACAAAGATGTGTATATGTAAAAGGACTACTTTAGTACCAGACCTGGAGGTGCTAACTCAGTAACTGAAAGTTTGAATCATGTATTCCAGGACTCCCTTGATGCTTGCCTGCACCAAAGACAATGAAGATGTAATAAGGCTTCTTCTGAAGTTTGGAGCCAGTGTCCACTTAAGAAACAAAGATGGATGGACACCATTTCACATAGCTTGCAGGTAAGAAGAGTCTTTAGGAAATAAAACTTACAGCATTACAGATGGTAAAAAAAATGTAGCTAAATTAGATTAAATCTTCAATTCAAAATGCCTTTTCCTTCAGAAAAGATGGTAAAAAGGGTAAAGATGTGATAATTAAACTTTTATTGAACGAT